ATGGTCACCTGATCATAGAAGGAGATCTGGTTGGTCAAAGAGGACTTGCCCTTCATGAACCTGTGTTGACTGGATCTGATCCCCCTGTTGTCCTGCGCTTGCTGCCTGATTGCCCCAAGATGAACCATTCCATGATCTTCCCCAGCACTGAGGTCAGGCTGACATGCCTGCAGTCCCCCAGATCCTCCTTCCTGCCCTTCTTGTAGATGGGCATTAGGTGGGCAAGTCTCCAGTCATCTGGGACCTCCACCTTAACCAGGACTGCTGGTAAATGATGGAGAGAGGCTTGGCAAGTTATTTCCCGCAGCACTCTCGGGTGAATCTCATCCAGCTCCATAGACTTGTGGGTGTCCAGCTGTCTTAGCAGGTCCTTCACTGCTATTTCCTGGGTTATGAGGGGATCATTCTGTTCTCCATCCCTTTCTTCCAGCTCAGGGGACTGAATACCATGAGAATAACTGGACTGACTGTTAAACACAAAGAACGTGTGCAGTACCTCAGCCTTTTCCTCATCCTTAGGAGCAGTGTTCCCCCTGACATCCAGTAAAGGACAGAGATTCTCCCTGCTCCTTTTCTTGTCATTAATGTGTTTTTTTTTTTTTTTGTTTAAAACATTATAATCTTTGTTATAAAGCTTTTTTTGTTTTTGGCTAAAATGATAGTTTGAAACTAAGTTAAAAGAGAAATAGTTAAATCATAGTTTGCTATTCTTATTTTTGATCTAGTATGTGAATGTTTAAACAAAGCTGTTCTTAAAGATTTCAGTTTTGAAAGCTGTCCTTAATTTCTAGTCTTCCTTGATGTGGCCACATTAGGCAGGGACTCTGCCAGCTAATTGTGGGGTGGTTGCTGAATGAAATTGATATCTACATATACCAAATTTGTATCTAGTATGAGGGGAATTTCAATCTTACTTGAAAACCACAAATATTTTTTGACACAACAGTGTCTTTTGGATGCTTTTTGTCCCTTTAATGCACGGGAAATTTCTGCTGTTCTCTGTAGCAAGTGCCCAAGTTCATCAGTCTGCAGTGCAGGATACCTGTAAATTGGCTACTTCATACTATGTGGTGAATTTAAGGCTAGAACAGTCTAGGTTCATGAACACTATCTACAAGCACAATGACAGTACTTTCTGTAAACTTCTGTTCAGTGTATCAGAATTTGACAGAACTTTTTTGGTGTTTTGCTTCAAAGTACTTAAAGAAAAATTCACTGTCTGGGTTGCAGCCTGGAAAGTGGACAGCTTTGCTGTAGGAGGGCTGCCCTCAGGACTACACTTTTGTCCTCAGAAGAGTAGAAGCTGAGGATTTTGGGTGGGTGGGGTAGGGTAAGCTGTAAGTCAGCTAGGCTTGTAGCTGGTAGTTTCTCCTGGGTTTCATGGGGCTAGCATGACTTAAGTTTTCAGACTATTTTCCTTAGGCTGCTGGAAGACTGGGGGGCTGTGTGTGGTCAATCAAGTTGAGAGCATTCTCTGAGAGTTTTGGGGGTGGGTTGTTCTGTTTTGTTTTGGGTATTTTGTCAATTTTTTTTTTTTTTTTTTTTTGGCTAGGGTCTTTTTCTCCTCAGGGTTAAGCAGCACACAGGGTTTTTTCACTGTATATTTTATCTTTACATATAGGCACAAACTCATTTCCCTCATTCTCCCTAAATTCAGTGAGGTATTGAGCCTGTAGCATTGTCCCAGGCTTGCTTGGCATCACAAGATATTTGCAGACTGAAATAGGAGCAAAGCCTGAGTTTTAGCTTGATATGTGATGTTTATTGCTTCAAATCCTGTTATGTAAGTGTAGCAGTGATAATCTTGTTAGTTTTTGTTGGAATCTGAGTGACACTTAAGTGCTTGAGCAACTTAATTTGCTGATGGAGGCATTGAGAATGCTTAATTGAGCATTCTGGTGTTTTTGAGGTAGAGAAGATTACCTTCAGAATCAGAATTTTTGAGTGTAATGCTGGTAGGCCTCTGTATTGAGCTTTAAGCATCATTCCTACTGAATGTAAAGGAAGATCCCACATTTCCATAGATGAAAGTGAAAAATGTGAACTAATACCAAAGAGTGATTATTCTAAAGATTTCAGTGAATAAGCTGTTTATACCTCGGAATCTGGGAAACCTGAAAGTGAAGTAGCCTGTGTATCAATTGTGTTAAATGAAGGAGGAACATGGTTCTGTGTCTGTTTATAAGGGTTTAAGTCCATTAAGTGCCAAGATTCCATATTTTGACCTGCTAGAATGACTTGCTCAGTCTGACTTCTAATGACCACTAGGATTAATCATGGATTAGGCCCAGATGTAATATGACTTATGACTTTAAAGTACATATGACTCTAAATTGCAGAAGTGTGTATTGAATTGGTATTTGAATTGTTTATCTGCATACCTAAATGACACCACTGATTGCTGCTGTGGCTGGGCTGCTGGACACCTTCTGTGTTCTAGTCTGATTCTTAGGACTTACTAGGGGAAGCTATAATGAACAGCCACCTCCTTTCTTTTTTTCCAAGGAGAATTTCATATGAAACACTAAGAAGGCAGAACACACATGTGCATCTGCACTCAAAAAAACCCCACGTTATTTTTGCTATGCACTTAAGAAACATCCCAGATTAATACAATAGCTATAGCTCTCTCACACATACATATCTGAGACTTCTCTTTTGTGTCTATCATATGGTCTTGTTTCTTTCTCCAACTCAGAACAAAATTTTTGCACACAGATGTAAATCTTGCCCTCCTGTATCCCTGGGGAAGAGGTGTGTAACTGTAGGTAGCTTCGTGTGTGCGCAGGAATTTTCCAGTGAACCTCTGTGCACTTCATTAGACAAATAAGGATGTGGTTTAAGTTTCTAGGCAATTAAATGCTGCTGTTAAAACAAACTTCTGATTGTGTGGTTTGTTTCTTTTTCCATTTTAGTAGTAATTGAATCACTGAGAGGCCTACCTCCAGTAAATGAGGAAAGCATAATTTTTAAAGAAGATCGGCAAGCGGCAGGAAAGGTGAGTGTATGTAAAGCATATACCCCTGTTATTTTAATGTGAAATTCAAAGTATTTATGCTCCAACAAGTAGTGTTGAAGACAGCTAAGTGAAAGATAGTGGTTCCTTGATATGTGGTTGTTCTTTTTACTTTTGACTCTTGATATAGTCATCTGTTTTTTTTAATCTCAATTCCTAATCTGCAGTCTTTGCGTCCTTAAGAATTACTGTGTGGTGAGTTTCTGCTGTTCTATGAGATGGCTTGTGGGGAGGGAGGGGTTGCTTTCAGACATACAGTGTCTTTAGTAGCAGCCTGTGCTCTTTCATTACTGGAATTTGGGGGCAAAGATTGGAGAAATTAGAATCAAGTTCTTGGAAAAGTGGGGAATGTTTAAGGTCAATTTTTCCAGTTCAAGGCCAGTGTGTGTTTTATGCAAGTATAATGAAGAGTGTTTGCTGAGAGGGGTGTTGCATTAAATTGTGTATTTTTTCTGGGGAAGGGAAGCTATTGTCTAGAATGGTTCACTACTGTAACATCTTTGAATGCTAGATGTGAATGAAACAAAAAAAAAAAAAGAGAAATTGCAGATGTTCTCTACAACATGTCAGAATGCTCTGCTCTTAGTAGCATTGGAGAACAGACATGAAGGCTTCTTGTAAAGATGAACTTAGAGCAATAAACGATCAGGAGATTGTTCCAGGCACAAGAGATTTGAAATGGTAATAGAGAAGAATAGACATTGGACAAAAGGGATAATTACTGAAGTACAGGAAGCAAACAGTGAAAGTAGTGCAGCTGGACAGGTGAAGGCAACATCAGCATTTGAGAACTTACTTTTTCCACATTATAACTTAAACAGTAGCTGGGGAAATGCTGTCAAAAAAAATGTAATAGAACTGAAGCATGAAAGTAACTTTATTTGATGCTGCATTTTGAAAATATATCAAGCTTCTTAAATACAGAGCATCTTAAAGGTTCATGTTTGTCTACAGTGAAGCTAGCTATGTACTCTTGGGGGCTTATGTAAACATTTTAATTTTTTTTTTTTTTCAGATATTTGAGATATTTGGTCCTGTTTTACATCCTTTTTATGTGTTAAGATTTAACAGCTCTGAGCATATCAAAGCAAAAGGTATTAATGTGCAAGATAGCATGTATTTTGCTCCATCAGTGGAGGACTTCACCCAGTATATATTTGCAGAGAAACTAAAACAGTGAGTCTCATTTTTTGTTCTACTCTAATTAAAATGTATTTTTTAATATAGGTGAAAATACTGAGTTAAAGTTTAGCCTTGAGTGACAAACTGTATGACTAAGCTTGACACTAGAACTTTCTTTAGATTTTAACAACTGTGTTGTATTAACAGGTTTGTACTGTTTTGCCTTTCAGAACAGTACAGAGTAGCTGTAAGCTACAAGCTTCTACAGTGTTACTAAAGTTTAATAGCTTCTTATTCAATTTAATATATTAAGCTTTTTTTCCTTTCATGATGCTGTGTCAAAATATCAGAACAAAACAAAACAAAAAAGCATTGAGGCTTCTGTCCCTGACACCTTCTTGCATACATAATACATGTCATGGTTTAGCAAGCTGAACTTGTTCAGATTCTTGTTTGGTTTCATAACTTACAATAAACTTGTTTATTATAAATAAAATTTACTGGTTTTATTTCATGTTATAAGGCCAGAAGTGGAATTACATTATCAATAAATCTATTGTACCATTGGAGGAGAACGATTCTCCAATAACAACATATGAACATTACCTGCTGTAAATCTGGGGGAGAGGAGATGTGTGTGGACATGTAGTGTGATGTTCAGAAACTTCTAGTGTCTGTGTATCTGGCTGCCTGAGGAAAGTAGCATGTGTGAATAGGACTTGTTGCCATTTAAAAGAAAATGTACTCAAAGATACAGAATAAGAAATAAAGAATAAATGATTGCTAGATGATAGTGTTCTAATTATTGATGAATAATTTTCTGAAATAACTATAGGTTAAAAAAATCAATTGTCACATAGGCAACTTAGTCTCTCTTTATCAGGATTAGTTCTCATCTCAGTTGCCATTTTTTTCTGGCTACAGCTAATAATATTGGTGTCTTCATTGAATGCAACTCTGCCAGTATCCATAATGAATTATTTTTTCTCTTTAGTCATGCATGTGTGATCAGACCTACAGGAGTCTTTTTTGTTTTGTTTTGTTTCTTTCCCATTTCTGTGGAAGCAGCAAGCATATTCTTTCCTTCCAGTGAAGACCAAAATTAATCACTTTCTCACTCTGTGGTTTATTTGTTTTTCTGCAGCATTATGATGCCAGATGGTCTTTGATTTGTGCAGTTAAACTTTGTTGCATAGCACAGTAGCTGCACAGACTTTAATCATCTGATTGCTGTATTTAGCATCTAAGATGTGAGATTGATGTTTTAGTTTGGTACATGCTTTCCAAGTAGTCTGGAAACTCTTTTCATAGTACTTTGCTGTTGTTTATGGTACAGCATTGAAGACTAGGTGAGTTTCAGCCTTTCACAGCTGATCAGAGCAGCTGACCAGTGCATCAGACATTGATTCTTGCCCTGCATTAAAATGAGGAGTGCAAAAACCTGTGTCATCTGACAGAAACCATAATTTGAGTAATGTGACTTGTTACATTTCACTGAAACAGTATTTTATTTCTGAGTTTTGTCAGTAAAGTTTCTTAAGCTTTTGTGAAGCAGTTGGTACTCTTTGTTGAAGCTGCCTTTTCACATCACGAAGTAGGCATCAGTGAAAAAGGATAAAGAATTTTGATTTCTGACTTACAGAAATGTAGTTATTCCTACCTATATGAAGAAACCAAAATGGCATGGATAGCAGGCAACTTGAGCCATGGTCAGTGCTTCACAGGAAAGCCTTTAGACTTTAGCAGATGGCAGATTTGATGACCAATGATTTTTATTTCCTGCTTTTTGTTAGATTATGTGCAGGCCAGTTTATGGAGTATTACAGGCTTAAAGTTTTAGAACTACTCAAAACTCTGATGGTAATTTGAAAAGGAAACAAATCAGGATTAAGATCTGAGAGAAACCTTAAGTTTGAAGCTTTTATTTAAATCTGGAATGCAATCTGCTTGCATTGTACAAAGTTGCAGAGCTATGAATAAGCCTTACACTTTATATCAACATAGATGAAAGTAGTGTAAAACTTCTTCAATGCAAAATAATTTATTGCTAAAAATAGATTTGTATTGCCTGAAACACAAAGTAATTCTAAAGAAGCTCATGTATTTTCATGATTCCTCTGAGTCACCTTTTGTTAGACTTCAGGATCTTAGCAGTTTCTGAGTTCAGAAAGCAAAGAATTACTAGTTTGTTCTTTGCAGAAGATGAAGTATCTCAGAGCATGAGAAGTATTTTGTGTTTTGCTGAAATGGGGAAGGCTGCATTGGAAGAATGAGATAAGCTGCCTGAAGAATTTACAAGGTTTAAATTTTGTAGTCAGTAGTACTATATGCTTTGTAATGGCCATAGGTCTTGGAGCTTCTTGCATGCTCTGGTATTTCTGGCAGACATGTATTACCTCAAAATAACAAGATAAGAGGAAGAAAATAAAGTCAGTTCATAATAAAGAGAAAAAGGGTGTTACTTTTTGTCTTTGCAGAGGTGAGATTAAAAAAAAAAAACAAATCATTGCATTGGATTTTGCAGCCAAGAAGTTACTCATGCAGAGCCTTTATCTTCCTTTCCTGTAACATTTTCTTCTAATTGAACTTTAAAATAACTTGCCTGTTAATACAGTTTGCCCATAGTCACAAAGGTGGTGTATCTGCATGGCTTCCTTCTGATACACAGAGATTGAGCTTCAGTTTCATGGTTAGGGGCTGAGGCACAAAGTACCTCTAGAGGACTTGCCAGTGTTCTCATGGGAAGCCTTTGACTAAGGGCCTCTTAAGTCCAGGCTACCTAGAGCCAATGATTATGTACTTGGATGTAGTTATTGCTGCTTGGCTGTTGCTGACTTGATGGCTACAGAAAAAAAACCAAACAATTGTAAGAGCACTGATTGAAGACATTTCACACTAGACGTGATGTTTTTAGCAATTTATTTCTTTTTTGCAAGTAAGAATTTTCAGTACTGCTTTTTTTAATATAATTCCACACAATCGGTATGGTTGGAAAGGACCTTTGAGATCATTGAGTCAAAAAATTTGTCTGCACAGATAAAGAATGTCTTGACATCTCAGACAAAATATTAAATTTGTGGAAAACCTTCTATAGACTTTTAACAACATAATTTAAATCTGTTCTAGAAATTCGTTGCTAATCAAAGCAATGTCTTAAGTTTCAGTGAAGTTCTGAGTGGTGGGTGAAATAAATGATAGCATTTCAAATTCATTTTGGTGCTTTTGACATCTGAGGTTTTATTTCTTTAATTGTCTTTTACCTTGCTTCTGAATTTTACATTTACAACAAAATAGAAGATGAAACCCTGTTATCTATTTAACACTCTGTTAATAGAATTGTGAGCTGAGCTTAGGGGAGTTTTGGTTCCAAATTCAGTTTGCTGCTTTGCTATAGTTTTACTTAAAGCCTGTGTCCTACTGTACTACTTCATTGTCCTTGTGAGCTGGAGAGGTGTTACGAAACCAGAAAAATAAGAAAGCTTTTGACTGTAGCCAGCACTTGGTCAGGTTAAGAAAGTTGCAGTGAACTACCTCAATTCAGGTTCAAAGCAATTTAGATTCAAAAGGATGTGTTGAGAGAATATCAGTCAAAGCTTAATATTAGCTGTGCAGAATGTTCAGTCTTCACTCAAAGTAGGAAGACTTTTCCAGTGGCCTGTGTGGTGAAGTCCTAAGTATTTATACATGCATTACTTAGAAAAACAGATTAAAAAGCAGGCAGCTCCCAGTGTAGGACATCTGATACCTTGAAGAAAGTGTTACTCTGTTTGCTACAGTACAGTTCTTGGAAATTATTTCTGACCTGTAACATGCTGCTATTACATGACTCAGAGATGTTTCATAGCCTCTTTGCACCATCTTCCTTCATCTTGATTGTCTAATTTGTGATTTGATTTGGTTTTGTCTTTTTTCTTTTAGGGAAAAAGGTTCAGATGCATCTTGGAAGAATGACCAAGAGCCACCACCTGAAGTAAATATAGCTTGTTTTTGTTTTTTTTTTGTCTTACTGGTTTTCATTAAACAAGATACATATACAAAAATTGCTATGTAGAGTAATTAAGTAGAAGCTTATTTTTTTTAAAGGCAGACAAGAGTTGGTTATACCTCTTCATTGAGAAGAAAATGCTGCTGGTCATGCTTTTCTTGGAGAGGTCTCACTGTCAGTGCAAAGAGCACTAGTTGTCTTTTTCTGCTAGCTTTTTGCAATTGGTAAAATGTGTCTCTTCAGTTCCTGTAGTCCTTCAAGAATGTGTTTGGCAACCTGAACATTCAGCTTTGGAGTAGCAATGCTTTTACCTTGCCTAATAGTTTTGTTTCTGCTAGGGAATTTTTGTCCTTGCTCTTCTTCCACTGCAGCTTTGTCTTTTACCTTAACACAAGCAATTTTTTGTCTTTAAAGGTGTGTTAGTGATCTACAAACTGTACTACTTAGATGTTTAAGCCATCTGTGCTGTTAGATTAACTTGACACTTCCTCTGTTGCATTCTTGGAATAGCTCTTTAGTAAGGTTTCCCTACTGTTTCCTATTACAAAACACTGTTTTAATGAGAGCAGATGAGCTTCTTCAATGTGAAGTCATACAGGATGATGTAGAAGTGAGAGCTCTTTCTGACTGTCATTTACTGTAGGATCTGTAAAGATTTTTTCAGTGACATCCAGGCTTCCTATCCAGTGCTCCCTAACTCCATTCTAACTGTAGTTCTCATGGTTATTCTCTTTGATAAGAATTGCAAGGCTGGTAGTTTATTTGTGTTTTCTTGAGATTTGTTTTCTTCATCAACACTTGAGTGGCTTTTCCTTGCAGTTTCTACTTTGAGCATGTCTTACCAAAAATAGCTGAAGCTCAGCATTACTCTGTCCCAGGTGAAAAATCCTGCATTTGGACTTGCTAAATTTTAGCCCATTGATGCCTTTAAAGCCGAATGTTCCAATCTGAATCCCTCTGCAAGGCTTGTCCCTCAAGAGAGTCAGCACCACCTCCCAGCCTGGTGACATCAGTGAACTCGCTAGTGGTGCATTCCACTTCTGCATCCAGATGGGTCTTAAATATAAGGAATAAAACTGGCCCTAGAACTGAACCCTGAGGAATGCAGCTTGTGACCAGTCACCAGCCAGGTGTAGCCTCATTCACAACAACACTTTGAGCTCTGCCCTCCAGCTGGTTCTTTACCCAGTGCACCGTGAACCTGCTCACTTGTCCAGAACAATGCTGTGAAGGACACTTGCCATGTTGTGAGGCAGAGCATCAATTTTTGCCTTCACAGTCCTTGTCCCAGTCCAGTTGTTCTGGCTTGAAGGAGAATGTTGTCACAGGGGCTTTTCTATGCTAGAAAGTAGGTCCTGTAATGATTTATCAATGTGTCAACCCAGCATGTTGCTTTTTCCACTGTGATGAGGATGATGCATTTTGAAATTCCATTTTTTTTATCCCACAAATGGAACTGAGCTGAGCAGTGTTAACTGCTCTCAAAGAGCATTTGTCAGTTCTAGGTGTCACTTGCCTTCCTTTCTTAAGGAGACATCATCTCACAGGTAATCAGCATTTGAGATTTAAGTGTTGCATAGAAGTGGGCTGTAGGTATGTGATCAATAGAGCTTTGAAAGCCTGTGTATACTTAGAAACTTTTGGCTAGTCTTAGCTTACTTTTGTCGAGCAGTTTTCTATGGATGATGATACAGAATGTGCTTATTGACTATTTTTTTAAAACTGTTCAGAAAATAAGCTTGTAAATGTGTAATTTGAATTTATAGGAACTCAAGTAACTTTACAGTTTTGCTAAATATAATGAAGCTGTGAAATCTTCTGCAGATACAGAGTTTTTAATTTTTCCCAAGCTGGTAGTTTAGGAAAAAAAAAAACAATGATTTTTCTTAATTCTAGTTATGATGCTGTTACCTTTAGGTTAGAATTTGAAAGTACAGGGGCAACATGAAGGTTTACTGTAAGGAAACTTGGATGAAGTCAGTGATGGCAAGGATTGACAAACTTGATTGCTTTTTGTGACATCTTCATTTCCTTGGCTGTTGTGACTTCATGACCCATTTGTGTTCTCTGTTTTGGAGAAAATACCACGTCTACCATCTTGTAATCCTTAGTTAGAATAGTCCTTGGGTAGTTCCAGCAGTTAGAGTTTACACTAAGATACCTGAACTGTGACAGCTGGTGAGCTGATTGAAAGCAGTTGTTGCTGTGAAGGTAATAGCTGTTGACAAGGATACAGATTAAATTTTATGCTACTGGTGCTTGAAATTGTCTCTTGCATCTAGACTTTTAAAGCTGGCAGCTGATTCTATAATTTTTCTGGCCAGCATCTATGATAAACTATGTGCAATTGCAGGAATTGTTTTTTTTTTTGTGGGACTGTGAAGCTTCATTTTTGTATGACTGTTAACTCAGTCCATGTTAGGCCTTTAATGCTTGCTGTGTTAAGCTGTACGGGGTTAATGTTCCTTTTCTGACATTTTGTAGTAAGCCCAGCTGAACTGTGGACTCAGCAGTACAGTGTCTCTCAGCCTTGTCTTGGGGCCATAGGATGGCAAGGTGTGAGCTGTGTGCTGCAGGGCTGGCAGGAGCAGGTCACTGGGGTTACTCCATGAGGCAGCTTTTATGGGGTGTTACACGGACATGAGCTGGCAGTAGAAGGTACCTGTTTGTTATTTCTGCTCTAGTGGAAGGTGGTGATGTACTGAGGTCCTTAGGAAAGCAGGAGCTAATGAAAGCTTTTACTTCATATTATATATCATCTTGTATTCTTTGTGGCTTTTTTTGAGTAAGAGTGTAATCCAGTTGTGTAGCAGAGATAGTCATATTCAGAATTAACTTCTGTGTGGCTTTTTTGAGCACTTTCTTAGTACAGTGTTTCTGAGATCTCTGTGTGTACTATGCAGATACATCAGTAAACAGCAAACCCCTTCTTTTCAGAACTGGGAAGGGGAGGTTGAGAACAAACAAACCCTACCCCTTTAAGTCATATGAGTGAGGTATTTTTTAGGAACTAATTATGCTGAGAGACTACTTTTCTGACTGATAATTTTTTTTCATTCTAAATATAAGTTAGGATTTGAAAAGTAGCAAAGATTTGTATAACAGGGACAGAATTTGCAGTGACATTGAAGCTATTGTGAATGACAATGTTCTTCAAAGCTGAAAATTCCTCTGGAATAATATTGCAAGTTTAAGGGGAGCAATATTATTAAATACACTACTGAAAATTCCAGTTTAGTGCCAGTTTTAGACTAGAGGTTTTTTTAATGTAGTTTAACTGTGTTGAGTATGGGTCACCAAATTAATTTTATGTTTAACACCTGTATTCACCCAGTCTGAAGTTGGCCCTTTGAAAGCTCTTCCTTGGCAATAACTAGCCAGCTCCCTCAGAGATTCTCCTCTTTTTTTTTCCCCTTACTATTGTCTAGGCAATCAAAAATTTTTGTTCAGTCCTTGAATGTTGCTGGTTTTAGAAAAATTAGAAGGAGTAACTGAGTATTCTATAATTGTCTTATGAGAAATTCGTGGAGTGTTAGATGTTTTTATTATGTTGAGAAGCCAGGTGAGCTGAACACAGGATGTCTCTTTGAATGCTAAATAGGAAACTGTGGCTTTAACAGTCTTATAAGCTGACTGCAGGATGGGTTGTTTTCTAAGTAATGATTTTTTTTCTAGAACTGAAATTCTCAACAGTCTCTATGGTTTTGTTCTCTCTTCCCTCCCTGCCCAGGCCTTGGATTTCAGTGATGATGAAAAAGAAAGGGAGGCCAAACAAAAGAAAAAGAAGCCTCAAAGTCAAGGAAGAAAGAAACTCAAACCAGAAACAAATGCGTTAGGTGAGCGAATGCTATGGAATGATTTTATCTCATAAAAATAGTGACAGCTATCTTGATGATTGTGCTTTCGTACAGTTAATCAGTATTTTAATCTTATTTTAAACCAAAGCTTCCAAAATACTCACAGTTTGAGTATTCCTGTGATTCATTAATACAAAGGAAAATGCCTGAAAGGAAAGTAAGTGAAATTTCTTTTTTAGTGACTGAATTTGCAACCCTTGGGATCATACTTTTTGTATTACTCTAATAAATCAAGATGTTATTAAATAGTAGACTTAACAATATTTTTTGTTGTTGTTTATGTATTATTTGCCAGTATGGTTTTTTTAAGCTATTTGTAAGATTACTTTTCAATTTTTCACTACTTCAGCTTGAAAGATTTGAGGACTAAACTTAATCTTCCCAAAGTAGTATTAAAATGTATGTCTCTTTTTTGTTGTTGTGTTGTTTTGTTTTAAGGTGAGAATAAAAGACATCAGTCAATGCCACAGCCTACTTCCAGTTACTCAAGGGGGTACTGTGGCAGAGGATTCTTCAGGGATCCCTTTCCTCCTCCATCAGGCCCCCCAGGTTTTTTGAGACCACCAGTGAGACCGCCACAGCTGTACCCTTCAGACGTCAGAATGCATCAGGAGTCTCCAGCGTTTCCACAGCCTCATAGGAAGGAAAACCCAATGGTGCAACAGTATGCCTTTCCTCCTCCAGAGTATGGGTCTGTTAATAACATGCATCAATTCCATCTCCAGCCCTCCAATCTGAATACGATGTGGACAGGCCCGAACGTGTACAACTCGTCATACCCGTTCTTACCACCCCCACCGCCGCCTCCTCCACCTCCTGCAGACAGCCACCCTCCTCAGTTCAGCCCTTACTGAGTGCCTGTAGGTGTGCACGCAGAGCAGTGCAGTTCAGAGGGAGGAAGAACAGGCTGCCAGGACTGTATTTCCTTCTTCTGGAGGTGCCTCACTTTTCTGCAATGGTAGAACGAATGCAGAGCTTGATGTTTGGTGAGACATCCATAGAAAACTAATTTTTTTTCTATGTATGCTTTTTGTTTCAGAAAAGAAAACTCTGATAAATATAATATTAAATATTTTTTATTTTTATAATACCTACTTGTTTGGGATGATAAATAAAAACCTTTTGGAGACTGATATGTTGTGGTGGAAATATGTTTTGCAATAAATTTAAAAGCTTATGTAACCACTGTTGAATAGTGATGAAACTACATCACATAGATGGTATTTTAATATTTTTAGAATGGTTATATATTGCTATGCTAAATCATTTGCCTTAATATTTCCCAATTTTGAAATATGCTTGTGGGGAAACTAAAAATCTGGCACCTAAATTTTAAGCTGGGTTTACCACAGTTTTTCTGAGGTATAAACTCCTGTTATCCAGCCTGTAGTATTTCATTCATTTTGTATTAACTAAAAGATTGGAGTTGGAGGCTCTTTTTTTTTAAGTAGCTGAAGTAGCTAGATCAGCATTTGGGCCAACAGCTGAATTGCTCTGTCATATTTAGTGTCCTACAATAGCTGTATAAGATCAACTTACTGATTAGATATTTTTCAGTTAATTTAGGATGTAAAACTGCATTGTATAGGGAAATTAAAAAACAGCATAACTTCTGTAGCTTGTCTTTGCTCCCAGTGCAGAAGTGCCCTTAGATACATTTAGTACATAGCCTTTCTAGGAAGAAGCCATCAGACCTGTCAGGGGGAGAAGGTGCCATTTCAGAACCCCTGTGATTCCATTTGTGCCTAAAATGCAGGTAGTACAAGATGGCTGATTGATTGTCTTTACAGTCAAAACTGTCTTCTCTGAAATGATGTTCATCCCCTCTCCCAGCTTGCTTCTAGGAAGGGGTGGAATTATCAGCCTAAGATGGCCTGGAGCAACCCCCAGCTGCACAAAGGCTCCATCCTGCCATTGCACTGATTAACGAGAGTGGAGCCCTTCCACTGCATGAAGACTGTTAAAAAGAGGAGAAGAAAAAGAGTGGGACAGAGGCATTTTAAAGATTATTTTTCCACTGGAAAATCATTGCTAGCTGTAATGATTTTTGAATAATTAACAATCATAGAATCATAGAAGGTTTTGGGTTGGAAGGGACTTTAAAAATCATCAGGTTCCAAACCCTTTCCATGGGCAGGGACACCTTCCACTAGACCAGGTTGCTCAAAGCCACATCTGATCTGACCTTGAGCACTTCTAGGAAGGGGGCACCACAACTTCTGCTTGGTTATCTTGCCACCTTCATAGTGAAGAACTTTGTCCTAAGTTCTAATCTAAATCTACAATCAGTCTGAACCATTGAACAGAACTGATAGAAGGGTGCAGTATGTATTTCTAGTCTCAAACTCTTATTGGCCTCATTACTTTGGGTATATAATTAAAGGCTAATTAAGGTCTGTAGGTGTTGCTTAGACATATACTCTCATTCCAAATAAAAGTGAAGCAAAAAATTAATGCATAGAGGGAGGGACCATCTTCTCAAGATGCTGCTACTATGAACTAGAATTTAATTTCAGTCTTCTAAAAGTTTTCTTACTTCAATACTTAAATTACTTAAATACTAAAATTACTTAATTATTCACTAATATATCTAGAACTACTGTTTCATAGGTCTGCAAGAGAAGGTTATACAGGTCTCAAATTTTATGGCAAACAGGTACTGTACAGTGGCAACGAACCATTTCAGAACAATAGCATTCCAGACATTAATTTTTCTCTTTTGTGGTAAGAAGAATGTCCAATTCTATTGCAAATGCTGACATTTTGCAGCAAAGCTTATTACTGTTGCTAGTGGTAGGTCACAGTAAAGTCAGTAAAGCCTCAGGACTGGCTTAGCAGGTTTGCTTCGCCCACACTCACGTGGACCTTTCCTGTTGCTTGGTTTAGCTATAGCAACAATTTGTTAATGGCCTGGTGGGCATGATTAGTTTGTTTTGTGTACTTTTTATTTCTATGGTATGTACACAGGTTTTTAAATAGAAGGCAGCAGCAAATTACTGTGTAATTGCTCTGTGTAGAATGGGGTATTTACAGCTGTAATGGAATAAGATAGTGTAGGGGAATGGAGACCTGACAGGGTGACAAAAGCTTCAGGTGGCTGCCCTGGATGCAGCACAGACCTGAGTATCAAGAGGTGGGAGCTGGGCTGGCAGGGGAGACCCCCGGGCTGGGAACCGCTTCCCAGCGGCCACCCAAGGAAACACAGTCCTGGCTCCAGACAAAGCCTGGGCTGAGTGTGACACACAAAAAGATGTTTCACCTGTAAAATGTACCACAGAGTGAAAATCGGATGTAGCTGTTAACCTGCAGATGAAGAAAGAGCAAGGTGTTCCCAGTGTGTTATCAGCTGACAAGGTGATCTCCAGGCAGTTGCAGATGAAGGAAGGAGGAACTGTCCGTGTCGTACCTGGGCTGGGGTCGGTGACTTGCCACACGGCCCTTGCACAGACAGCCGTCAGCCTCAAGATCCAGAGCTGAAGTGTAAGCTTACCAGGGAAAGGAGTAAGGGAACTGGGGGTGCCACAGTCCTGGCTCCAGACAAAGCCTGGGCTGAGTGTGACACACAAAAAGATGTTTCACCTGTAAAATGTACCACAGAGTGAAAATCGGATGTAGCTGTTAACCTGCAGATGAAGAAAGAGCAAGGTGTTCCCAGTGTGTTATCAGCTGACAAGGTGATCTCCAGGCAGTTGCAGATGAAGGAAGGAGGAACTGTCCGTGTCGTACCTGGGCTGGGGTCGGTGGCTTGCCACACAGCCCTTCCACAGACAGGTGCCGTCAGCCTCAAGATCCAGAGCTGAAGTGTAAGCTTAACACCAGGGAAAGGAGTAAGGGAACTGGGGGTGCACGTACAACAGTTTTAAGTGATACTCCTATTGAGACCTTTTTTATGTTTAGTAATGTACGTTTCTGTTCTGCAATAACTAGATCTGGACTCACAATTTTTTGGTTAGGCAGTTAAGATTTCACTTAGGCTAAGGCATGTTCTCTTTTCACATAACAACATTCTGCATGTAACAAGACCAATGTAAGATTAGATTACAAAACATGGTTTGACAGAAATTTATTATGGTGTAAGCTATTTTATTAATACTTGGTAATTAACTGCAATACTGGTTTTGTGTGCATTTGCCTGTGTTTTGTCAAATTCTGCAGGTGTTCTGCATTTATTAAGGTCACACTTGCAGAACTTTGCTTAGCATCACTTTTAGTTCTTCATTATAAAAAGTACTTGAGAGCTAGGTGTGATTACTGAGTTTGATACTTATGGAGGGTTGATTTCCTTGACCAGAACAGTGCATTGCACACAATGTCCCTTACACTGAAGAATAAGCATTGCAGTTAGATTGCTAGAATAGCACCATCTTAATTTGAAAATAGATCTAATGTAACTCTGTTTTTTCTGTTTTTTAGTGAAGATGTTGAATGTAATAATTGATGGTTTCCTTGTGTAGCTGTTTGTAGTCAATAGTGTTGCACAGGTACTGTCAGACCCTGTTTCAGGCTGCTGCATGCTTGCTGTTGAGAGAGCAGTGTAAACTTGGAGTAGTTTGGGGGAGTTAGAACCTGTGGTGTTTGCAAGTTCATCTGTTTGGACAGGAAAGAAAAAGCACAAACACTGGACAGAAAAATGAATGGCATGGAAGTACTTTTTCTATATCTTTAACTCTTTGAAAAAAATGTTCTCTGTCCACAGGCCTTTAAAGGCTTAACTGCAAACCGTGGGAAAACTGGCTCAGCAGTTTTAGTGGCAGGAATTGCTGGTTTTGTTTGACCCCAGCCATTTTCATGTCAAGCTGTTTTATGGGCATCTGTTACTAATGTTAACTGTGTTAGACACGTTATTACATTGAAGTGCTAGAGCAATATGCTATAACAAGATTACAGTAGCTCATCAGCTGAATGGCAACAGGGGCAGATCCTTAGCAGATGAAGCACTTGAAGACATCTTCCTTTTTCTCTGCTGCTGGAAATTGAACAGTAATGCACACCAGCTCAATTCTTGATCAGTGCTACTTAGCAGGAGGACGATCCTTTTAGTCTGAAATAATTTGGTGTGTAACACACCCTCTCTAGAGAGATTCCAAATTTAAAAAGCCAGCCAGCCAGGAAATAGAAGCTGTGAAATGTGAATCGTGCAGGCATCAGGTCCTCAGCAGCGACACTGCAGATCTCTGTCTGGTCCACACTACTTGCTAGCATAGGTGTAACTTTTATGTTCAGTGTGTACCGCAGGAAACCTGATTTTTCATAGATATTACTTAGGCATTGTGGTATTTAATGCTTTTAATACAAGCAAAGATTGGAGGGTTTAAAAGTGTTTCTTATTGCTGGCTCTTGGTAATGTTCAATCCTGATGCTAATTGGAAATACCAGCAAACACCTCTTTGCTGGGAGTTTTGCTGTGACCCATGTCTCGGCAGTTGCTGAGTTAGTACGCTCAGATCAGAAAAGGTGTTGAAGCTAATGTTTTGAGTAAAATAATTGGAATATATCTGTTATGCTGTGCTTAAAAACAAACAGCCAATAACCAAACTCACTCACTACTTTTGTCTGAATACTGGCTGGTTTTTCAGACAATTGTATTTGATATAGAAATAGTATGATGGCATGTTTATTAATTTTATCTCAGTTTTTTACTGAGTTGTTAGGATTTATTAAATTGTTGGAAGGTTAGACCTTTACAACGGTTTGCTTTCATTCAATGAGATATACTTGGGAAGTCTGTAACAGCCTCCAAAGAAGGGAGCATTTCTTTGTCGTTATTCTTCCCTCTCAAAGCTGAGTAAAGCAATGTCAACATCAGAAAGGTTTTGAGTCCAGAACAGTTCAGAGAGGACTCTCAGCCCTCTGT